CAGACAGCCATCGCGTCTTTTTCACGCCCCTGGGCATGAAAACTACTAGAGTTGGAGCTGGAATAGTTTTTCGTGGTGGTTGCACAAAAGTACCTGCAGTAGGCTCGTGCGTCTGTTACAGAAGAACGGGGGGCGGTCCATCATCACCAGCTAGAGAGGGGGGTGGTATCCATCATCATTCGCTAGAGGGGGGGGTGGTGTCCATCATCAGCTAGCGAGGGGGGTGGTATCCATCGTCACCAGCTAGAGAGGGAGGGGGGTGCTATCCATCGTCATCAGCTAGAGAGGAAAAAAAAAACGTTGGAAAATTCCCCGGCTCTCTAGCTGCTGCTGATTGTTTGAACAGGACGCTTCCGCCACCGCTTTAGATAACAGCAACAGCAGCAGCAGCAGAGGCGACACACCCTCTCGCCCACAATGAGTGTAGAGAGGTGCACAGCACAGCAGTGGTACTACATCGTCTAGGAACGAGCGTGATGTGTTACTGGTCCCGTGCTGTGATGTATGTGTGCCTCTCTCCAGAGCAGAGTCAGAGGCCGCTCCCTCCCGCCGCGTCGCAACACAATAACAACAACCAACCGATGGACCCACAGAGACCCAATCAATATCTCTCCTCTCGCTTCCTCCGCCGAAAGCTAGCAGCAGCAGTAGTATAGGGCACACCCTGCTCCCGTCCCGCTCTCGCTGTGTGGTGTGTGCAACACACGCTGGTTGGTGGGACTCCCTCTCTCTCCAGAGAAAAAAAGGCGAAAAAAAGGCCGGCAGCGTTGAACAACAACAACAAACAACGGAGACAACAGCAACAACATCATCAGCGATGAATGAACCCCAGACCAACCAAACGTTCCCCGCTTCCTCCGCCGTCGCCAACAGCAGTATGTGTGTGTGTCCCGCCCCCCTTGTCCATGTTCCCTGTCTCTGTGTAGTGCGTGTCTTGCCAGTAGCAGCAGCAGTGTGTGCAGCACGGCAGTGCGTCGTGGTTTCTTGCGTGCGTGTAGTTTGTTGCCCAAAGAAAAACAAAAATGACGACGCCTCCCGGGGATGCGTCCATGTGACATATATATTTGCACAAACGGTGTGCTATCTCGAGACACCGACCACGGATTGCAAAGGTAGCGGTTGGGACAGCTCGGGCAAAATATTACTTGTTGTGCGCAAGTTTTAGTTTGCAATTTGGTGCCGAGATGGTGAAATGGGCTCGAGTCTGCTGGGTATTTAGGGCGCGCAGACACCCGACAGACAGACAGACAGCCATGGCGAATTTTTCACGCCCCTGTGCATAAAAATTATTCTTTTTCTCGTGCGCATCGACACACGATCCCTCTAAACAGCTTTTTTTTGGCGAAACAAAAAGCGTACCCCTATTCGGGCCACTCTTTTCGCAAAAGAAAAACTAAGAGTTGGAGGTGGAATAGTTTTTTGTGGTGGTTGCACAAAAGTACCTGCAGTAGGCTCGTGCGTCTGTTTATTGGCTGGCTCGTGTGTGATGCCGTTGAGGCAAAGTCAGGACCGTCGTCATTATTATCTTGTTCGCACCAACCCCGCCGGCCCCCCCGAAGTGGGTACATCATACACATACGCGGAAGGAAACCTACAGACAGACACACACACAGACAGACAAACACTGCAAACGACGCGTGCTTGGTTGTCCAGATTAACGCTCCTCCCGCCCCCCAAGACGAGGTGCACGCGTATCACACCTCGCGAGAGGCATGTTGCCTAAACAATGTCATGAAGACCCACCTAACTACATACGGTGCAAAGCCAGCACGACAACGAAAAAGCTCAGGCCATGAAGGTGGGTGCGACTGCTGGGCCAACTTGGGCGGCGGTTACTCTCGGCAGTTGGAGCTGTTGCTTGGCCACCTCAATTGCGTTCCGCCCGGCGACCACCATCAGGCCTAGCCCTTGACCGATCGGGTGACCCTCTATGAGTTGACTCTGTCTGGAGGCGGTAACGTAGTTACTCCCATACGCGTCCACTCCATCTTTACGCTGCGCGCAGGTTCGCAAGTCCTTGACATTTCCTTCTGGGTGTTGGCCGGCGTCCTGGAGGGCGACAGCACAGGCTGCCACGGCGGAATCCCACCAGGCTGGCTTATCGAAGATAACATATCGATCTACGCCAAAAGCGTCGAGGAGGAAGGGTACGTACACCCAGGAGTCTGTGTGGGAGTTCTGCATTTGGCGAACCGCGTATACCTCCCACGAAACGACGGCTGGAGGGATAGAAAGGTCTGGCCTCTCCGTCCCACGCCGGCCTCGGCCCTGCCCCCCGCGACCCCGTCCACCACGGCCGCCTTGCACTCCCCCCTGCCTCCCCCCATCTCCTCGCCCCCCTCCTCCGCGGCCCGCCCTCCGTCGTGTCCTCGGGGGCCGAGCGGTTCTGACGATGGGCGGCAAGCCATGCTGACGACGTGTACGGTTCTCGACTGTCCGCACGTGGTCGATGGCGTTGAGTCGTGACTGGAAGGAACGGCTGTCGCCTATTTTGAGGAAGCGCTCAAGGGAGAAGGGCTCGAGGAGCATGTTCTCCAGCGTACGGCACCGGCTGAAGGCAGTGAAGGATTGTCCGTCGCTCCTCTCGCTTGCTCCGATGTCCAAGAAGCAGCGTAGCAAGGTGTTGCCCTGACTCTTGTAGATGGTGATACCGAAGGCGAGCATCAAGGGCAACTGCATCCGGAAGCAGCGGGCGATGGAGGTGCCGTCACCTCTCCGGCGACCCGTGGGTGGTTGATCATCCATGACGTCCATGGGGGCGATGGGGCAGAGGTTCGTGAGGTCAATTTCGCCGTCGGCCCAGTCCCTCCGGAGTGGTTGCTCGAAGTATTGAGGACCCCGGTAGTTCTCCACGCGAACCCACACGACCTCCGGCAGTTGTGGCGGCGTTTGGCCCTCTGCCCACTGCATGTGCACCACTTCCCCGACGGCTCCGTTGGCAAGGCCGGCAGAGACCCAAACGTTGTTGTTGACGAACACACGCGCGCCGATGGCGAGGAAGATGTGCGATTGCAAGCCCCTGAACCTTTCGGAGGACACCGCGTTGTAGCCGTGGATGGTGTGAGTGGCGTTGATTCTCGCGATGGGGGTTCCTAGAGAGTTCAACCGCCGCCAGTTCCAGTCGTCGGCGAGGGCGTTCGTGGGGAAGATGTGAACAGCGTCGTCGAAGGTTTCGCGTTCTGCAGCCCCCACCGCGGCGATGAACCTTCGCTTGAGTACGTCCCAGTCGTCTGCGGTCTGCATGCCCTCGGCGATACGCAGTAGTGTGTCGCGGAAGGCGGCCTGCTCCGGACCTTGCTGGCGCATGACCTGCGTGAGCTCGACGGCGTTGTTCATCGACAGCCACGCTTGCAGTCCTTGCATGCTGAGGCCGCCCGTGGAAGGATTGTGTTTCCACAACGGGCTAGCCCCGACCGGAGGAAGCTGTGCTGGGTCGCCGACGAGGATGATGCTCAGGCCTCCGAATACGTCTTGGCGGAAGTCCTCTATTCCATCTCCCCTCCGCCCCTCCACGGCCTGTTTTCCCCTCGCGCTCATGAGGCCGAGCATGTCCTGACCCACCATGGAGAACTCGTCGACGAGGATGAAATCGACCTCAGCCATGCGCTCCTGCAGGTCCCTGAGAGCTGCTTCGGTCATGCGGCTGGGGTCCGAAGACCGGTTGCTCTGGACGACGGGAATCCTGAAACCGCCGTGGATGGTCTGCATCAGCGCGAAGGGAAGGTTGTTGGAAATCGTCCAAGGGGAGGCAACGTGTTTTTACCGTACCCCTACCATGGAAGGCTGATCTCACAGCACAATCTAACTTACAGAACATGCAAAAAATGATTGACAATATCTGCTCACCATTCCTCCGATGGCGCAAGCAGCGTTCCCCGTTGGAGCCATGAGGATGAACCGCTGCTGTCCCACCAACCTCACCATCTCCCGAATGACAACCGTCTTGCCGGTGCCCGCCGTCCCCGTGAGCAGCAAACGGAGAGGACTCGGAGGCGCCGGCAGGGGGGGGTGCGCGGCCCTGGCGCTGTTGTCTCTGCGGCTCACGCGGACGGCTTCTCGGTAGGAGTCGAGGCTCGCCGCGTGATCTCTCACCAGTGTTACAGCGAGAGCCTGCTTCTCGTTGAGGACTGGTACCGGAAGCACAGCCGCTTCTGTGGAGGCGGGGCCGGCAGCCGCGGCACCAGCAGAGTCCTTCACCCAGGTAGTGGAGTCTTCCCGCACTCCTTGTGCCTGGGCCCAACCCGCCTGGCCCCAGTCGACGTTGTTGCCGTCGCGGCCGTCGCTCCACCGCCGATCTAGGTCATCGTCCCCAGCCCCCCCCTGCAATCCGTTTCCGTGCAGGCCGTCGAGGTTGGGGGGTTCATCGTCGTTCTCCTTCCTTTCCCCGTCGCCTTCGTGGGGCTCACCTCCGCTACCCTCCCCGCTGCGGCGGCCTCGGCGTCGGCGGTCCGCCTGGAGGTCTCGCGCCGAGAAACCACGCGGTTGTTGTCCCAACGGCATCGCCTGAACTTCGGTGGCCCACGTCCTCCACGCGTCTATCATGTTTTGCCTGGCAGCAGCGTCCTGTGTGGTAGCCTCCTCTCCTTCCTCGCTGTCCCACCCGTTGTGCAGAGGGCCACGCAACGGGCAGTACTTCACAAGGTGGCTGTGGCAGTAGTCGGCGTACTTCGGGCTGGTAGGGCTGTGGGAGAAGATGGCATGGAAGGAGACGACGCGGTTACTTCGGATGTGAGTCGTAATATTCTTCTCCCGCGTTAGCTTGTACGTGGCGGCGAACGTGCAGTAGTTCATCTCCTCGAGGACCGCGTCCTGCTGGGGCCTTCCTCCATGGATGGGAACCCACGCGTCTTGATCCATGCGACGGGAGTACGCAAGGAGCAGGTCCCGCACTGGTCGAAGTCCCCCGTCGGCCCCGGCGCTCTCAACTTCGACAGAAGTCTGCTCGGTATACACCCTCACGTACTCGACGTTGTGGAGGACGTTGTGGGTCTGTAGGTTGAGGTGCTGAACCTCCTGCACGCCCATGTCTCGCCTCGTCGTCGCCATGTTGAGGACCTTTCGCATGATCGAAGGCAACGTAAGCCTGTCGTCGTCGTCGGCGTCCAGGGTAGCGGCGTGGCGAACAAGGTCGCGAGCGTTGTCTGCACGTCCCTGCTCCGAGACTCTCCCTTGGTGGTATACTTGACCATGTACCTCCCGGCCATGCCCATGCCGACGATTGGGGAGAAGTCGACATTCGAACCCCACCCCACCAGCTGTGCCACGACGTGCCGGTTGACGCAGGGGTCGAATACTCCCTCCCCTTCCTCCCCCTCCCGCCGCGGCAACGCGTTTTGTGGCGTTGCGATGAGCTGCCAGTCGTCGACATTGTCGGTCGGAGGAGTAGTGAGAGGGTGT